TCCCAAGCTCTTGTGAGGAAGCAGGATTTGCTTTAGTGTCCCACCCAATAAAATTTTTTTGCTGTTTATGAAAAAAGTCCGTGTGGTACCCATGCAAAACCCACGAAAATCCCACCGAGACCCACCCAAAACCCATCCCAAACCCACTCGAAAACCTGGCAGGCGTAACAACTCCACTTCTAAATAATTCTGGCCCATAACAAGTCGTATCCCTATTCATATTTCATTCAATGGAAACTCTTAATATACTTCCTAGAAAATATATCATTAGAGAAATTTAAGAGGGGACCGACGATTTCTGGGATGGTCACAACGAAGATTGTGAATTCACGAAACTGATCCGTCAATATTGTCGGGCTTCGTGGGAGAGACGCTACTAAACCCACACAAAAACCCACCCAAAACCCATCCCAAGCTCTTGTGGGGAAGCAGGATTTGCTTTAGTGTCCACCCAATCGCAGGTTTTCCTTGCTGTTTGTGCGAAAAGACCGCGTGACACCCACGCAAAACCCACGAAAAGCCCACCGAAACCCACCCAAAACCCATCCCTCGAAACCCTGGCAGGCGTGGCAAACCTACTTCTAAATCAATCTGGTCCATAACAAGTCGCATCCCCGTACATATTTCGTCCCATTCCCCTTGGTTCCGACGCACGTCCCATTGTTGTGGGAGTTACTTGGAGAAAGCTCGTCTTCAAGTGCACTCTTCAGATGGACAAGGCCACCCTCCGTAAACGCCTTCTCCCACACCAATTGGCAGTTGGGGTATCGTGTGGGGCCGAGGCGATGTTACATGCCACCCGCGAGTGGGTGAAAGCGAATAGTCACAAGCCAGATGTTGTCCTGTTGCAAACTGACGTGTCTAACGCGTTCAACACGGTGTTGCCCGAACAATTCCTTCAAGATGCGGTTGAGTACTCTCGCAGAGTATTGCTATGGCGAGCCGACCCAATTGGTCTATCGCGGTGAACTGGCGTGGTGCGAGCGGGGTCAACAGGGTTGTCCTATGATGGGTCCTCTTTTCTGTTTGAGTCGTTGCCACATGCTCCGTGAAGCCCAGCAGGCTAGTTCACGACCAATGCCCGAATTTAGACCCGCCTTCGCCGATGATGGATTTAGCGGGGGACCTGTCCTTGATGTGTGGGAGCAATCTCGCCAAGAAATTCGGTTGGCTGAAACATATGGTTTAAAGGTGGGCCCAAGCAAATGTACTCTCTATTTGTTGGCGGGAGAGGCTTTTCGGGGTGATGTCTCGCGCTTGCAGGCGCTTGGAGTTAAGGTGGTCACTGGGGCCAACCTCCTCATGTTAAAGACGCCGATCAGCCAGGATGCGGATTTTCTTCATTCATTCCAGAAAAGCAAACGCACTGAGTTGGAATGTATCTTTGAAGCGTTGGAAAGACTTCCTCGACATCATGTTGCTTTCACGTTGATGCGCCAAGGCGTTTCCTATGGTAAGATCCAGTATGTTTGCACCGAACGGATTAAATATAAGATCCAGTATTGGTGTCGCACGGTTCCTAGGGCTCACTTGGGAGAGTTGTTAGAGTTTTTCCACCTCAGGGCGAAGCACGCGCTTGAGCACATGTTGAATGTCCCCTCAACTCCCAGCAGTGGACCCAAGCAAAGCTGCCCCTGGACATGGGCGGCCTCGGGTTGGCTAGCCCTCGTATTGAACCTGGCATGCAGGTCCTCCACACATCAGATGTTTGCTTCATTTCTTCGCGTCGTGCCACCAACTTGTGTACGCACCCCGTGCGAGGGCGAGCTAGCGGCGATCCAACACTTGACCCCAGGGGACACACGCGGCAGCTCTTAGAGATGAACAACAAATAGTCAGACGTAAAGACATTCTCAGTATTCTCCATGATTCGGCATGGTGCGGCAGGCTGATTGTGCAGGTCAGGCACGTCTCAGAGCCGTCTCAGCGACGGGCGCAGACGCATGGCTTTGGATGGCGCCGGGGCTTGTGCATACTCCATGTTGGGTAATGTGGCTTCCAGGGACTTTGTGGGCTTAAGACTGGGGGTGTGCCTTTTCCCGGGAGCAAGTACTTGCGCCTTCTGCCATCAAAATCTGGATGAAATGGGACATCATGTATTATCGTGTATGGGACAAGGACATAAGCAGACCATGCACCATACTTTGCGTAATACGATATCTTCGCTTGCCCAACAGGCGGGGGCGACGCCCCAACTCGAGCCCCAGGGACTCTTACCAGAAAGCGCCGAGCTTAGACCCGCTGACGTTTTGATCCATACTTCACCTTCCGTTCGAGCATCTTCATGGCAGAAATTCCCCAAACTCGCATTGGATTTTGCGATTGTGTCACCATTCGCGGTCTCCATACTGAGAGAGAGTGCAAGTCACCCCTTGAGTGCAGCCTCTCGGTATGCTGATCGTAAGCGGGCGACACATGATGTCGCGAATAAGTGCGCGAAACAATTGATAGGATTCGAACCAATGGTTTGGGACCTGGGATGCGGGGAGCTCGAAGAATCAGATCCGCGCCAGGATCTCGATGGATCTGCAGCGTGGCTTTCACTTTGCTTGCTGCCTGCAGCGGGCGAACGCGGGGCCGCAACCTGACGAGTGAATTGCGGGGATTAGTTTCGTATCTGGACGATTCCAAGTGCGATTGCTCCGCTCTTCTTGTCTTACTGTTGCGGGGTGCCTTCTGGCGAATTCGGGGTGGTGGCGGGTGTTTTTTCTTCGTTTCACTGCTGGAAGGCGCTGTTTTTTGCTTCGTGTTTTCTTTGTGCTTTGAGCAATCTCATCATGGATCTTCGGTTCGTGTTTGGAATTGTTTGAAATAGGATCCTATCTTTGATTGTCCGCAGTGGTGAGAGAAGCCAAAGTCTTCTTTCATTCTGCTTTGATGTAGGGTCTCGACATTTGGGCGAATTGATGTCTTTGAGTGTAGACGTCTTTTACACCCTTCGATTGCGCTTGCCTCTCTTGGGCTTGCGAGCAATAGTCTCCAGCCTTGGGTTTGAAATTGGTGCTTTTGGGTACAGATGCCACTGCACCGGATCTTGGCAAGGTCACTCGAAGCAGGACGGACCTTGCCTACGCAGACCCTACGAAGAAGTACGATTTGTTGCCATCCAGCCGTGCTCGTCTGACAGAGATGGCAAGATGTACGATTTGTTGACATATTTCATTCGATGGAAGCTCTCAATATACTTCCTAGAAAGTATATCACCGGAGAGAGTTCTTAAATTTCGTCCATCTTTGTGGTTATGACATAAGAGGGGACCGACGATTTCTGGGATGGTCACAGCGAAATAGCCGGACAATTGTGAAGTCACGAAACTGACCGGTCAATGTTGTCGGGCTTCGTGGGTGAGACGCTAAACCCATGCAAAACCCACCCAAAGCCCATCCAGGCTCTTGTGAGGAAGCAGCATTTGCTTTAGTGTCCCACCCAATCGCAGGTTTTCCTTGCTGCTTGTGCGAAAAGACCGCGTGACACCCACGCAAAAACCACGAAAAGCCCACCGAAACCCACCCCAAACCCACTCGAAACCCTGGCAGGCGTGGCAAATCATCTTCTAAAACGTACTAGTCCATAACAAATCGTATTTCCGTTCACATTTCATTCATTTTTCGTCCACCTTCGTGATTATGATTTCAAAAGAGACCGACGATTCTAGGATAATCTCAACCATGGCCTGTCTTACGATAATTGGTGCTTTTGGGTGCAGATGCCACTTGCGCCGTCGTCTCTTATCTCCACGAAATAGCCGGACAATTGCGAAGTCGCGAAACTCACCGGTCAATATTGCCGGGCTTCGCGGGTGAGACGCTAAATCCACGCAAAATCCACCCAAAATTCTTGTGAGGAAGCAAAATTTGCTTAAGTAACCCACCCAATGGCAAGTTTTCCTTCCTATTTGTGTGAAACGACCACGTGAAATCCACGAAAAGCCCACCGAAACCCACCCAAAACCACTCGAACCTGGCAGACGTGGCAAATCCACTTCTAAACCATTCTGGTCCAGAACAAATCGTATCTCCATAGATATTTCATTCGATTGAAAATCTCAATATACTTCCTAGAAAGTATAACATTGGAGAGAGTTCTTAATTTTCGTCCACCTTTGTGGTTATGACAAAAAAGGGGACCGCATGAAGGGGCGAGATAAAAAGCTCCGGAAGCAGGCCTGCACTTCTCACATCCCCCGCACCCCCCCGGAAAAAGGATACCCTGGGCGCTGGGAACCTGGACACAGTCTTCTGTCGTGCACGGAAATTGTGGTCATCGACTCTGTGCAACCATGCAGACGCAACCGCGACAATGCAGGTACGTGCAGCATGTTTGCGTTTGACACACCACACATCCTCTTGATCTTCGACAAAACTGCTTCGATTTACTGCATTTTGAGCGAATGCTAGCGCAGATATTTGATACTTGCAGCATTCTCGGGCACAGAACAAAAAACAAGACAAAAACGCGGTCGGTAGAATCGAGGCTGAAATTCAGTGCTTTTCGGAAACACGAAAAAACACTAAACAATCAGAACATCTCAAGCGCGAATGCTTTCATTTTGCAGCATCTTGTCGTTCAAAACGCGATTGTGAAAAAAACACTCCAACACCCAAGCGAAACGTGCGTTTCCGAGAAAAAATGTCTTCCAAAAGCGGGCTTTATCCGTCACACCGGCATGCAAGCAAAGAAACGAGGACAAGGCGAGAACGAGAGGCACTGGCAGGCTGCAAGATATTGAGCAAACATCAGCATAGCTGGCATAGCTTAAAATGGTGCCAAGGTCTGGAGCCGATGTGCTCGGAAGCACATGCCAAGGCAAGTCGCAACTCAAGCGAAGCAGTCAAGGCCTGGGGCCAGATCCGAAGCGATCTTTTTTGCATGCAGAGGCTCAGTCAGAGTCGTGTGAAACTGATCACGGCGAGTCTGGGCCATCCGACCTCCGCTCAAATGTCTCGTCAGATTCATCAGGGGCACTCTCGAGCAGAGCAGCAGGACTCCAGAGCAGGCACTTAAGGTCCGAGCTCGTTCCAGACGTCGCTGTCGTTGCTCCCCATGTGGGTTGGGTAGCCTACCGTGGAACATGGAACGCAGTATCCAAACAAAAGCAACACAAACCTCATGTAGCTACAAACGGCAATAGTGTGCTGCGCAGGCTGCGCCTGGTGGCTGTGCCATTCGTTGGATCTGGGCACGGCCACGCAAATCCTGAACGCAATGCTGCTCGACCAACATCATGGGGCTGATTACATTGGCAAGGTGCAACTCTTTGTGGCGCTTGTTGTGCACATGCACAACAAGTGCAAAAAGGCTTTGCGCAAGGCCTTGTAGAAGCGCTCCAAGCTTGCCTGCCCGAGGCTTGCCCGAGGCTTGCCCTGAGCTCCTACACCCTGTTCGATCCCAGTTGCGCGCCTCCTCTTCCATCTGCCTTTCTTCTGCCAGCTTTTTCTGGATCTGGCCGCACGACGCGCACGCTTAGCGTGCTGTAAACGGATGTAAACACTCGTATGAGGGACCAAGGCACCGGCATTCTGTACCCAAGCTGCTTGATCTTTGCGCTCCATCACGCAATCCTCGCTTGCCACTGGGGCAGTTCACAGCATGGGACAAGCCAGCGCTGCTCTCCTCGATCCACTGCCTGTCTGCATTCACAGGCTTGACCCCCCTGATGGCCAAGCTCTCCTGCACCTCACATCTTCTACAAATCCCGATACCGTTCGCCGTTCGACACCCCTGCCGACTGCTGCACCGCGCCTTGATCCACATCTCTAGCTCGACCTGATCGCAGCTTTCCGTTCGTCCTAGCAGTCCTAGCATGCGCCAGTCTGAGCACCCTGCGGCCATGGGATACAGCTTGACCAGTTCCATTTGTTGCCTAAACCGACCCGCGCGTACTTCGGACTCACAGAGGGGCACTTGCAACAGCTTGCAATCTGCCGCGCCTCTCTGCGATACTCAGAGTCTCTTGGCACTCGAACCCTATGCATTTCAGCACTGCGTAGATCTTGGCCCGACCTCGCTCACATTTCTGAGCTCCGGCTTCTGCATCTTGGAGCAGCGCTAGTGCAGAGCAAGTGAGTATGAGGAGCAGGCAGTCCTCACGGACCGGTCAACAAAGTGTGCAAGGAGTACATGCTTCCCACACGCCTAAGACGAAGAAATTGCGGTCCTGCTCAACGCCGCTGGACAGCCACTGCGATCCTTGCCGCTGCTGTGCAGATGCTGGGGCCTTCTCGAAGCCCTGCAGAAACAGGTCAAAAAGGCCAACCAATATTCTTGCCGGGAATGAATTTCTCTTCTGGCCTTGCCCTGGGTGTGATGCTGGCTCGTTGTTGTCACGCTTGTGCCGGTGCCGGCAGTGTCTGCGAAGTTCTTGGCGTGTCGAAACTTTCCTGCCAAGCGGCCTTGTGGGCAAGTCCATCATTGCTTCCGCACAGTCCACGGTATGGAATGCAACAATGCAACAATGCAACGAGGCATCGGCTAGTGCTGGTGACAGTGCTCTCGCCATCGTCGATCAGTTCAGCAAGGGCCTTGGAGGTTCCACGGGGATGCAACATGTGCTCAGCATAAGCTGCAAGGTAGGCCGCCAGCCAGGGTTGGCGGGGCTCGTGGGTTGAGCGGCTGGTCCTTGGGAAGCAGCCCCAACACTTAGCCGACTTAGCCAGGTAGGCCTGAGCGACCCCAGCAACAAAAACTTAACCTGAGGTGTCTCGAATGCGGATGGGGGTGGTTCTGGCGAACTACGCCGACGGCTTTGAATGCCCTGTCCAGTGGCGCATTCAAAGCAATCAAGTCGAATGCTTGCAGTGAATGCGGCAGGAGACTTCCAAGGCGCACAGGAGGCTACTTGGATGCCTCGCAAAATGCAAGGCCGAGACATCCAAGTAGCCTCCTGTGTGCCTGAGAAGTCTCCTGTCGCAGTCACTGCAAGCATTCGACTTGATTGGTTTGAATGCGCCACTGGACAGGGCATTCAAAGCCGTCGGCGTAGTTCGCCAGAACCACCCCCATCCGCATTCGAGACACCTCAGGTTGAGTTTTCAGTTCCCGTAGAGCAGTTGGAGTTTCATGCATCTGCCGACGAAAGCATTCCAGCACATCTACAAGTACCATGCCAATCCCAACAAAGCATTTACTTGGATCATCCCCACCCTAACGCGAATCAACGTGGAAGCCATCCTACCCTTTGCTGCAGAATTCTGTCGCAGCAGCTGTTTCCCTATTCCCGGACATTGCATTTCAATGGCGCTTCTCTGGGGGAGTATTTGGGGGTGGTTTGCACTCCAGGGATACTCTGGGGGTGACTCATGGAATCTTCTGCCTGCACCGCCTTCGTTGCATCTTCCAACTTCTTCTCCGTTTTATTTGCCCTTTCCTTTCCTGCCCAACCTTTTCGTCCTCCTTTGCTGTGTTTTTCCTTTCCTCCTTTTCTACACATTCTCGTTGAAAAACTTGAGATTCCTCCACATCTACAAACGAGCTTGTTCCTTCATTCAAACTATTAGACACACACCGCTCGCTTTAGTAAGCCACCCCCTCCCCCCCTCCCCCACACACACAAATAAAAAGAACTTTCCCCGGGACACTGGTGGGGGGGGGGGGCCTGGGCTGAACCATTAAGCCCTGAAACCTTACGGTCAATAGGCTTGAAGCCGTCTAGCCTTCCTGGGCGGAAGCCAAGGCCCGTAAAGCCTGAAGCCTTAGCTGAACCTGAGAGAGCTCCGTACCTAATCCCGAAAAAGTCTAGCAAGTGCCTGTCAAAGTGAGTGCCCGAAACCAATCTACGAAAACGAATCGGGCTGGCCCGTGGGCTATCTATCACGAAGTTTGTTTGGGTCCTGGTTTTGTAAGGAAATCCAAACGCTTTAGATGGAACTGGCCGGGCTTAACTTCCTGAATTCTCCGGGCTCCGGCTCTCTAAGATTGCTGGAGCCAGGGGCCCTTAAGGCTTGAAACCTTTGGCTGAGCGTGAGGGGGCTCAGCACCTGAGTTTTGGAACCAGCGAGGGGAAGAAACTCAATCTGCAGCTGACCTAATCCCAAAAAATGCTTCCAAAAGAAACTTGAGTTCGCACCGGGAAACTTGTGACTATAGCGGGCAAATAAACTAATGCGAATCGGACTCGTCCTTGAGTCTGCTGATATGGCCTGTGGCACTTCACTCAATGAAGTCAGGATCGCCACCAATCGCATCAAGCTAGTCCCTTAGGCTCCTCGAGGAGCGATTGCTAGGTATGTGGGCGCAACAGACCATACTGCGTCTCCGTTCCCTGCTGGCTGGAACGAGGCTTCCTGAACACAAATTCTGGGACCACACTTTCATCTTCACATCTCACATCTCCCTGGATCCTCCAGAACGATTTTACTGCGAGTACCAACTCTTCAAAGCTTTATCTAGTGTTTTCGAGGTTACGCTTTCGTGCGACGCGCAACCATGTGACCACCTGCGTGTGCGTGCGACGCGTGGGTTTGACCTTGCGACTCTGGGCCATGTAATTAACGAAGTCACCATGCGACACCGGGCGTGCACGTGCGCGCGCGCGCGTGCGATTGGGCATGTGACCACGTGAGCATGTGAGCACGTGACGCCAAACGTTCGCGTGCATGCGCGATAGACGTGCGCGCGTGCGTGACCATGACCACGTGCGTGTGCGTAAACAGAGCACTAGTCGCATGGCAAAGTTGTACGTCAGCATGCCCCACAAAGAACGAGTGCTTCTACATTATTCTACATCACTCTTCAATACACATGAACTCTGAAGTGCCGGGGCGCCAAGTCCCGGATCACGCCATCTGGAGCCAGATTTCCTGCCGCCTGCTAAGCATCAATAAGACATCAGGTTGCTCTTTAATTCATCTGCCCAGCACCTGCTGCTCACACTGCCAAAGCTCCAAGAGAAGTCTCAACGCACCTTTCATGGTAACCTGGCACGGCAATGCACAAGCTGGCAGCATCTTTCAATTACAAAGTTTGCGCCAACTGTGCCGCTAAGCCTGTGAGTTCCACTGCGTGAAGAGCTTGGCAGCCTGGTTTAGCGAGCTGCCAAAGCCATGCACCTTTTTTCCCTGTCAGGAGCCTTCTTGTACTCCATCAAGTCTGCTAAGCAGCCGATGATCTGCCGCCTGGCGCTATGGAGCCCTATGAGCCCTGTGAAAGTGCGCTAGCGTGTTTTGAACATGCTTAGTCACAGTGTTACACTGTTTTACACCTGTCTGTTACATCTGCTTTCAATTGTTGTTGTCTTGCGCAACAGGACCCATTTGCGGTCTATTGGCTGCACAGCCCGTATCGCGAGGGCTCAATGTCCAGTTGAGCATTTCGAATTGGAACTCAGGCGAACTGGATTTTGCCAGAGGACACCACCCGGCCGTTTGCTGTCACATTTTCGCTGTGGACTTTCTGTTCTGGGGCGTGCTGTGGTGCCACGGTTTCAAATGTACATCTTGCGGCCATGGTGCTTGAGGAGCATCGGTGCCACTTCAAGACAGTCGAGCAAGGCGAAAAGCCCACCTGCAAACAGCTCGCTTTCGCACGAAAGTTATGGGGGCCTTGGACGTGCTCCACGTGCTCCTGCATCTAGGAATCGGATCTCGTTTTTGCGAGTCCCCACCACCGCATTCCATACCTTGGTGCGCACTTCTCGCCTTAAGAGCCTTGAGGGTGTTGCACACTCAGGCGTCAGGTCCCTGCGCAGTCCACGACGCACAGGCTGTAGAAGAGGTGGTTGTCGGTGGTTTCACCGGGACGGTACACGACCTGACGTCAGGAACTCAGTTCTGGGTTAATTTGTTGGCTACTCTTGGGTTTGCTCAGGAGAGTTTTGTTTCCGATTTTGAGAACATCGGTGTTTACACTTACTTTGACTTGACTTTTCTTTGTTGAGCACCGCCGCCTTTTTGCAAAAGCCGCACTTGACACACGACCCGTAGCAGCGAGACTGAGAAACTCTTTCTTTCTTTCCGTAGGTTTTGGAGGGCGTCTGTAGTTGTAAGCGTATTTGTGGTCTAAAAATGTCGAAAGGTTCCAAGGTCCGGGTTCAAAAGTTAGCGTTTCTTTAATACCTTGGGTTTGTTTTGCATCTTTTGCTTTTTCCTCCCACAATGGAAAGTAGTCAGTCTTCCCGGAGAGATCGGGCCAAAAATCATTTAAGAAGCACTCTTGAATTCTCAAATCCTCCGTCAGATTAGACTCCTGTACGCTTGCGGACTGTGCCTTATGGAGCTCAGTAACGCTCAGGTTGCATCTCAAAGGGAGCGTTGCTCGAGGCCTGGGTCACACTGCATCCTGTACAATGGTAGCACTAAACGCTGCGTGTTTTTGTTTCGGCACGCCTGTTTCACTCAAACTCAAAAAATAAACCTTGCACGAAGGCTGCCAAGGACCAGGATCAAACTGGGCCAATATGGCTCAAAATAGCAAACTTGCTCAACATTTGTCAAAATCTGCACAAACTTTCAAAAAACACACAGCTGGGTCAAATTGGCTGGTCAAATTTGCAAACTTGCACAAAATTTGTAACAAATGCCCAGATTGGCCCCCCACAAGGACCAAAATTGACCAAAAGGCCCAAATTTGCTCCAATCCAACTTGGCCAAGATGCTCAAATTTGCCTCAGGAGGTCCAAATTGGCTTCAGAAGGCCCACATCGGTCAAAATTGATGAAAATTGGTCGAATTTGCCCAAGTTTGCTGGGAAGGATAGTTTGCCTACGTCGGCCTTTACTTTGTTCACAGAGCGACTGGTTGGAAACCAATTTCTGGCAGCACGAGCTATTTCCCCTCCGGCGAACATTTTTTAACCCCGCCCAATTGTTTCGGTGCTGCTCTGGCCTCGGCTTATTCCCAATCCGGGGGGATCGTTACTCAAAGCCTCCCATTATGGCTGTGGACTTATTTCTTGCGCTGGGTTTTCCTACATTACTCCTGCATCTGTCTATGCTCAGGCCTCCTGTTTGATTCTTCCACTAGGTACAGTGCACGGCTCGATTTTGCACTGTGGGGGCAACAACTTTGACAATTCAGCAACTTGTCGAGACTGCATGATGCAGCGGAATCCCTACTTAACTTGAAGGCTGCACTTGCGCGGTGAATTCTGGGGTGGCCCGGTCCCCGTTTGTGAAAGTATTGGAAAGTGCACCGAGTTGGCAATCGCTGCTCATTGTGGGAGCTTTTGGCACGTCTCATACTTGCATCGTGACTTAAAGACACGAGTCGATGCAAGGCTGGCTTCTCGTGACCTTGAAGTTAGCGTGGAATTCGGGTACGTAAGCTGTCAACTTTGGTTTGCTTTTTTGGTTATTGTCTGGATGGACAAAGCATGATGAGATACGTCAGCTGCTAGCTGCTTTGCTCGCTGCGTCGCTCTGCTTCCGGACATTGTCTGTCTAATTTGTCTCCAGAACCTGTGTCCGCGCGATGTAAGACCTGACCAACAGAACTGAAACCCAACAAAAGCACACCCTAAACTTTGCCCTAAACCACGGATCAAGTCTTTATCAGCACTGCGCTCGTAAGCTGGCTTGGCTTTGTTCCTGAACGCGTTCTTGCAAAAAGAACGCTAGACAGAGGACAATGCTCATTTGGTTGGCTCACCTAGTGTTTTGAGCTCGATAATCTTGTTCTGGTTGCTGGTAGTGCTGGTCGCAGTTTCGTTGTTGCCCTGCAGTGTGGGTAGTCCAGTCTGCCAGGTTGGCACAAATCAAAGCTTGGGGTGTCGGGTTTTCATTTGGTGCGATGGGCCCACTGCATGCACCAAAACACTGAAGGGCAGGTGCCCACCTCGTCGCGCATGGCCTCAACACCATCCTTCTTTCGAAACTCACGGGCATTCTCAGGGTACTCCTTGCACCTTGGTGGAGCGCAGAAAGCTTGTTCTTCCATGCTATTCCCGACTTCCCAGAATGCCTGTTTCTAGACACAAGGCCCGAACATCGTGGCCAAGACGGATGCGCACATCTGCCTTGAGGTCATGGGATTGTCCTGAGCGCACTTCTTGCACGTCTCTCCGTTCTACTCCCATCTGAGCATTTTTCTTGTCAGGCTCTGGCCTTGTCAGTGAAGAGCTCGACCAATGTTCCCACAGCTCCAAGCTGCCCAAGATTCTGCCAGACGCGCGTGCTGCAAGGAAAATGATTGGAATAGAGCTTAAGGACATAGTATAAGGCTTGGCGCGAGATGCACCGGCTGGACAGGCACCTCTGCAAAGTGCGGCCCCATACGAACAGCCACCTCAAGCAAGCGCCAGGAATCGCATCTACCTCCTGCAAGTGTGGGAAATTTGTTCTGTCAACTGTAGCTGCCCAGCCTGCAGCAAGTGAAGACACTTCTTCTGCACTTCCCGGCTGCGTGTCGCCTGAAAGGCCCACGCTATCCGGACAGCTTAAGACACCACAGCTCGCTTCGCTGGCGGATCAAGACTTTGATCCATAGGTCCGTCGTTTACCTCCTTGGCTCTTATTTGGTTGAGGCGTTAGTTAGGACAACGTGTGATGCTGTTTGGTAAGCATGAGACGTAGGTCTTGGGCTCAACTCACCAGAAAAGCCCTGCAAGTGGCCGAATGCAGAACCTTTCAGCACGGCTTTGCTTTTTGAAAGTTCTTACGGGAGCTGCTCTACGAGGGATGAATTAGAGCCTTGAGAGGTCGGAGAGACCTGAGACGGAAGAGAAGTGGAGGGAGCAAAGTGGTTGAAAAACAGCAAAAACAATTGATCTGCGCCCTCTGCTGCCCTCTCCGTGCCTCGCCTGGAGCAGCTGCAAGACCATGGCATTGCCCTGCGCCTCCATGAATGCGTCCGGCACGTATTGTACCTCATTAGCTCTCAGCGCGTCGCACTCCACAGCGTGGCAATGTGATACGTCTTAGGAACGCAAAGAAGCCCGCAGCTTTAGCGCCACGTCTGAGCGCAGGACCAGCTGAAACAAGGAGGACAAAGCCTCGAGCTGCACCTGTTTTGAGCATCCGGTTGCCAAGTCTAGTCCCATGTCAAGTGCGTCGAGCTGCTAGGCGCTGTTAGTCTTTTTCTCCTTCCATTCACCCTCTCTGTGCCTGACGCCGTTGTTCCTGGCTCCACTTCTCAGGGGGCGCCTCGGCCTAAGTCCAGGGACCCGTACCTCTGAGTCTCGTGCGATGTCTTTGGGCAGCTTCTGTGCCGCAGCTTGTGTGGAATATGCATCTTTGGGTCCGGGCATCCAAGCACTCCAGGAGCGACTCCACGAAACCGCACTGCACCGCCGCCTGCACCAGTCAAGTGCTCAGAACAGGATTTAACCAACAAAACACTCTTCAAAAGACGGTTCTTAACTCAAAAACGGATGAAACATGAGGAGAGGAGATGAGAGAGGAGGGAACCGAGGCGAGAAGGAACGCGGCGGTGAAGGCCTCGGCACATGTCTCTGAGGAGCAGCAGCGCGCCAGGGTTCCCCACAGCAAGGTCCGGAACTCCATGTCCTCCGTCCCAGGATGAGGTAAATTCACGAGGAATTCGCTCTTCTTGAATCGGCTTCTTTCTGAAGATTGTTGTACACCACAAGTTTCTGGAGCTCTGCTTTCTGCTTGTCACCTCCTGGGTGTTGGTGAGGGGGATGCCCTTGGAGGCCTCAGCACACATTTGCAGCATTGGCATGCAAATGGACGAACACAGAAAGAAAAGCGCCCCCCCCCAAAGCACCCCAAAGGACGGAAGGACGCCATGCCTTCGAAAGGTCCCCAAGGTCGGGCAACACTCGGACCTGCGGGTCAGAGGCGCTGCAAGTACCGCAGTCCGCAGCCCGCCCATAGAATCCAATCAGGGCCTCTTGCAAATGCTTCTCCTTGCAGCCACAGCCATGGAATCCGTCTGAAAATCTTTGTCGCAGAAACGAAGCTGAGCCCGGCTCGAGGTAACCATTCTGCAGGAGCTCCTTTCTCCGCGCTTCTGACACCTGATTGCGAAACAATGATACAACGATCGTTCACCGAGGCTAAACGGGTGTGCAGTCACTGACTTGGGTATTTCATGAAAGTCTTTTTCAGGCGGCTGCTGCATAGCTCAGCAGAAGTGCCATGAGCCTGGCGCTGCACTTGCTTCATTGGAAAGCTGAGAACAAGTCTGCACAAGTCGCAACAACGATTCGCAACTCTCCCCCCCGCCCGGTGGATGCGAAGAGCACGCGGTTCTCCGCACGCTTAGAAATGTACATGAGGAGGACCATCATGTCGTTCCGGAAAATCTTGTCCTTTCGAAAGCACTCTGTGTCTCCGGTGTCTCCTGTGTCTGCTGATAAGGTCTGCTGAGGGGCCTTGAAGCGGTAACCGCGAGTGAGAACTGCATGCATGAAATCGCGGAAGGACTCGATGACCTGTCACTTCGGCTCCCGACACCGGACTGATATACGCACAAGGGCGCGGGTCAAAAATGCAGGAGGAGCTGACTGGCGTCAACACATTTGTTTTGCAGCTTCTGTGCCACAATGGGGCACCGTGGACAGGTTTTCTCACACACATAAGAATGCAGCAGTTCAAAGAGTAAGAGCAAAAGGAGCAAGTCAGCAAATTGAATCCTTGAAGGTCTGGGGGTGCTGTGCAAAATGCCAGAAAGCTAGGGTCTCTGCTGATGTCTTTGTGTGGGGGGGATGCCCCAGCCGCACACGTGTGTGGTGACTGCCTCTTCACCGGAGCTTGGCCACGTGGGCAAACTGTTTCAGAACCTCTGGTTTCGACGATACTGAAATCCTGTGAATGAGATGCGCCGTTTAAAGTCCCGAAGAAAAAATGTTACTAAGAGTCTGTGAAAACACAAGGCGACTCCAACCAGCATTCAACTCCTAATTGCACCCATCACCTGGCCAATATTTCCGAATCTAGCTGACCTTAAGTTTAGGGCCAGACGGCCTCTCAAACCTGCACAGGATCTTCCATGAGCTCAAGAAGCTTTCGTTTAGGCTGCAGCCGCAGCCCCCAAACTAACCATTCACGACCCATGTCCTCGATATCCGCACATTCCCTTCAAAGTCTATTCTGCACTCACAAGGAGTTCGCTGATGCAGAGCTGCTGCCAACCTTTGCACAAATCCATGAAACCCAAAACGGCATCGCTCAAATGGCCTCTTCTTGGCCAAGCGCCTCGGTGGCTCCATCCTGGCATTTCGGGCGTTGCTCCGCGGTCTCTGTCTCAATATTCACAATATTCACAGATTCGCAAAAAAAACCCACAGCAGCATTCTAGCTCCAAGTTGTGCGCTCGCCTGGGTCCCATGCAGCTCCCTAGTACAGGCAGAGCAGTGCTTCGGTGTCTCCGGCTGCCACCCTGTGTACTTGCTTCCCACTACCCACCAAGTGCACAGAAGGAAGACGCCGCAAGCCCTCGCAAGCCCTCTCACTCCTCAAGCTCCTGAAGCCTTGAGCTTGGCGCTTCGCTGAAGTTCCCGAAGATTCGCGCTTCGTTTAAGTTCCTGAAGACTCCAGCGTCGGAGCTTCGCGCTTCAAGTAGGGGACTTCCGCAGCAAAGCCTCGTTCGACTTAGTTGTCAGTGTCGCCGCGTACCGTCACTCTGGCTCACCCCATCCCCCCTTCGCCTGATGGTTTGTGGAGAAGCTCGGGGTGTGGGGCCCTGGCACACTGACTCTGGTTTCTGTAGCCGATCCCGCCCCACGGCGGTCAGCTAGCCAGCACATCAGCACACTCCGCTTGGTGCCTGTAGCGCAATTCAGAATATGCTTTCGTTGAGTTACTGGCAAGAAGCGTGTGATACACGATTCTCAGTGCAGGGACAAGATCCGGGCCCCTGGGGCGAGCCAGGAGAAGGTGCTGCTGAAAGATTCTCGGTGGTGGGTGAAACCCGGTTGCGTTAAAACCCTTTGGCGAAGAGGGGGGTCTGCTCGTTTGGGCTTCTCACCTTCGCCCCCCCCCCCCCCCCCCCCCCCCGCGCTATATTTCTCGGCCTCACAATGCAAAATGTGTGCGCTTTCCCGCCGATGTTTGTCGCATTTTGCCACTGCTCGCTTCCAAAGATGCTGGTGAGGCCCAATCCAGCTCCAAGACCTGACGATTCTTTCATACTTCCGAGGAGAAGGTTCTGAAGCCCACAGATGCCCTTTTTGGCAGAGCCCGGGGCGTTCCACAGGACCTCGGCCGCCACAAGCAGGACGTCGGAGCCTTGAATCAGACCAGCTGCCAACTCTGCCTTTTATTTTGTGCTTCTCTGCTTAGGTGCTGAGCGCTTCTCTGTTTGTTGGCGCTCAGTCCTCACTGAGATCGAGGCCAAGCAAATTCACGCGGATGACGTGCACTAGGTTGGAGATGAGCCCGCAGTTCGTAATCTGGCAAGCCAGAGGCCTGTACAGCGACCTGTGGAGCGAATCTCAAAGCACATCTCTCACTTTCGCATGCAACAGAACGCGCTGCATGCAGATACCGAGCCAGGAGCATGTCGCGTATGGCGCCCAAGGTGATCACGATCGACTAGGGGCACGTGGCGTGCAAGGATTCCAAGGCTGTCCCTCTGTGTACATGTGCGAACATTGGGGCTCGCCACCTCCGGGCTGTCTTCCGACCGGAACGAAGCGGAGACAGCATCCTCGGACAGAGCATCCAACATGATGACGGAAATAAACCAAAACACATCAACATCCAGTGTCATGCGCACGTGGCCTCGGAAGAGCCGAAAAACGAACTGCCACGTGGCTCGATCGTCGACTTTCGAAATTCTCGAACAAAACATGTTTGCTCCACTCGTTCCGTGGGCCCCGGACCATAACGTTCGATTGGCGCAAGATTCGAAGGTTCGGGGTCCTGCATGTCAACCCATCTCTGCAAGCCTGCCACTACTGAAAGAGGGGAGGAGATGCTTCGCATGGCCCGGCCCCGAATCGGCGACTGCTTGGATCAGTGGCTGGTTCGGCAATAGCTCCACACCTAAGCGCTCAGCGGCTGATAGGCTTAACAACTTGTACTTGAAATTTCGAATGTCCGCTCTCTCAACAAAAAGTGGGTTGCGTAGAAGTGAGACTTTAGGAGAGATATGGCATATAACTTGTTCTTTCGGTGGCTGCGAGGAATTGAGAATGCCGACTGTCTTCGTCAAGGCCAAACCGTGCCCAGCAGGCGAGGGTGTGTGCCACCTGGCTTGAAGAAAACCAGCCACAATTAGTTGTCGGACCCATTTTGTACAAAGTTCGGGCGCCTCGATCCGAAGCCGCTCAAACATTGCCTTTCTCTGCTCAAGTCTGGCCTTTGGAGAGGCAGGAGGCGCAACAGCTAGTGAGTTAGTGCCCCCACAATGGACGCACGGGGGGGACTCACAGGGGCGGCCGGGGCCTCACTTGCCGGTCCGCTGGGTGGCAGCGTGTACGTCAGGACGCTGACCAAGCCCTGCTGTCTCAGCCACTCCGACCCACACTACTTCACACGCCACTCAGCGCTTGAATGACTTAATTACCCAACACATGAGAGCGCAGGAGCCTTGATGAAAGCTGGGAGGTGGTGACCGTAGGTGATCATGTCGGATGTCTGAAAGAGCAGCAAACCAGAAGGGGTCTTGAAGGGAGAGAAGGCCATCCAAAAGCAAAAGGGGTGCCTTGCAGCTGACAAAGGGTTGTGACGCAACACGTGTGAAGTCGCACAAAGCCTGCGCCAGATCCTGGCCTCTCAGAAACCGAGAGATTGCAAAGTGCGCCTTTTGTTTGTCAAAAGTGGCATGATCTCTGCGCGCCAGCCTTGAGCAAAACGCTCGACCTGAGAAGTGTTGGGCGAAGCATTGCATGAACATTGAACTTCGTACAAATAATCATTGAGAATGGTTGCGGCGAACCCTGCAAGCAAAGTTGAGGCCCACTCGGCCAGATGCAGCAAGTCCACCAGGGCCTCCAAGTGCTTCAAGAGGAAACCTGAAACTTTTTTCAGACTTCTGAGCAGCTTGCACATCTCACTGCGTCCATGTGCCCCTTTTACGTAAGTTCCACGCCGTTGCAGCAGACCTTGCACAGCTTGCGTATTGCAGCGACGTGCCGGTCCTCAAGAGCAAAGAGAAACCGGTCTCCGTCGAATCTTCGAGAATTTATGAGAGTTCTCAGGAAACGGCCACGAGATCGACGGTGTACTTGGAAGTCCTCAGCTTCACAGAAGGCTCCCCGATGCTACCCAGGATGCTTCAGGCTCCAGATAGCTCCAAGCCCCGACATATCAGACTTAGCACATGACTTAGCAGCGTCTTAGCATACTCTCTGCGTTTTCAAGGCCAAGCGACATGAGCTCCATGATTGCGCCGAAGTCGACTTCGTCGGGCCTGCAGTGCAAGATGGTGCGTTTAGCTAAAGGGCGAGCAGATTGCAAGTGTGCAATCCTTTTGTGTAAATTTATTGTGGGAACTTGGGCTCAGGGCGCTGAGGCAATGGTCATGACGGTCATGCTTGCGGCGCTGGCTCGCTGCTCCGTCCTTGGGGTCCAGCAACTGGCAACAAGGCAGTAGGACACTGAAAAAAAAGGGCTTTTCTCAGGCGCGAACATGGCGGAGACTGCACCCGAACTCCGTTTGGAGCCATCCGCAGCTGCGGATTATGATCTGAACTCGGTCTGAACTCTCAGTCTGTACTCTGCGCCACGGTGTGCAGCAAAATGCCCTTTTTCTCCTCCTCTCGGGCTTCTCGGAGCTTACAACTGTTGAAGGTGCATCTCACCTTCAAGGCGTAGAACACCGTAGGACGTGCAGCGTGTTCCCCGAGGCCCTGAACTGCCTCAACCTCCCTGAGCTTCACTTCTCCACCCAAGCAGGGCGATGAGGCGATGTGGCGGCGGTGCGCGAGAAGCGTAGTGATGTCGCGAGATGATGTCACGGCCGTGGCAGCATGGGGGTGCTGGGCCACGTCACAATGGACTTGGCCTCGGCTTGTCAAGAGCGCTTAAGACATGAAGTCGCTGGCCAAATAGAAAGAGGTGGGCGCTTTCCTCTCAGCGTCCCATTGGACAAAGATCCCTGTGCCCGATCTGTGCCTGCCGTATGCCATTGCCAACGCCTTTGCGTTCCGCGCTCTGCTGCTGGTACCTCCAGCCGACTGAAACCATGCATGCTCTCAATGCTCTCAGCTTGACAGAACTTGCCAGTACGAACAATAGATCGCGTACTGCAAGATACGCATTATCCCAACATGGGAATCCTCACGTAACAAGGTGTAGAGAACAGCTGCGGGCGTCAGTTGCTCTCTCTGACATTAGTCCGGAAGAGGCGTTTCCTTGCAGCTTGTGCATTCTGCCAGACATGCGGAAGGAATCGAAGGCTTCAAGACTTCAAGACCCTAAACTGTGCTTGTCATATGTAGCTTGGCTGAAGTCCGCCGGGCACTCCTAATAGCTTGTTTTGTTCGTGCGCGCAGGCACTCAATATGCTGCAGCGCCAAAAACTTCTCCTGTGCAAAACACCGCTGGTACCTAGTGCCGAAAAATTTTCCCATCCGGGTCACACATTGGTACAGGCGATTGGATTTACCCGCCACCTGTAAAATCTCTCTGTTGTGATGGGATTGCTATGAGTGGACACTGGGTAAGATGGGTGTGGATCTAACCTCAAGCCAATCGCAGGATGCATCTTGCAAAAGGACTTGGCTATCCGCGCGTGTTTGGCAATCATGCTTGACGAGCCTGCCAGAACTACTTAAATCGTCTGCTTTTGCTGCTGGAGCGCAGCTTGAAAAACACGTGCTCGAGAATAGTGATTGTCGTCCGGGCGTTGCACTTTAGCACATGCATTGGTCATCGTTCATCTCAATGGCACATTGCTTGTTTGTCGCCCACCAGCACCTGTTTTTCTCTGATGACAGCAGAGCTGACATACTGACACTGCCAGATTATGTACGCTGAACTGTTATTCTTTGCAGGGTCCGCGCAAAGAGGAAGGCCTCAATCCCTACTTGGAAACAACCTTCAGATTGAACTTCCACCGACTGTTTTTCCCATCTTGGGGTGGGTCTTGTTTGCTTCAGAATTGCTGTCTTGCGGGTCAGGAAAGGTGGTCCATCATGTGAGAAGTCCGGGGCCTTTTTTGGTAGCTTCGTTGAGATGTTCGGACCTCGCACTGTAGAGTAGCAATTTGTCGTCTTTGGTCTTGACTCACCTTCACTCAAATTGCCGCAGCTGTAGAAAGGCGGCATTGGTGAGGAATGTTGCTCGCCTCCTCGCTTTCTAGAGGCGGACAGAGGCATGCTTCGTCCATGAAAGAATGACAGGCACATGGATCGCCAAGCCGCTGGGTCCCTAAGCTCTGGCAAGCACTGGGTTTGGGGAAGCTCTTGGTCTCTTCCAGGAGGCGCACGCAAACCAAGCTTGCCCGCGACATTGCAAAAACTCCTGTGGTGCAAGGCTTGGCCCGTGTCCGCACAGTGTCGCACATGAATCGCACGTCCTTCTTTTCGGACAGGCTGACCCGAAACCCTTGTTTCTCACCAGTGGCCTAGGCTCTGCACAACAGACAAACTGCACAGACTGCTTGGAAGTTGCCGGCCGAGGTTGCCGCAAGATCCGCAGACCTGGACCAAGCAAATACAGTAGAGGCGAAACAACGCGACCATCAACTTTCTGGAGGCTCACTTTCGCAGCGTCAGAGCTTCTATGACAAGGTCTTTAAACACGTGGCGTGCACTACTCTGCACGCTACACACTAGGCAGGCATGTCGTTTACACGTTTAATATAATTTCGTGCGCTCCTCACAACATGTTCTATTCCACTTGCTCACGACATTCTCTTTGTACGCGTCTGTAGAAAATACATTCGAATAAGGCCGGTTCATTCCCGAAAAGCTCAGTTCCACGACAATCACAATGTGTCACGGACTGCATGCATCTTTTCACTCCTTACAAGCCCGTACAGTAGTAAATTTTAGCTCTTTTACACGGTTCACCTGGTATGCGATTCCAAGGGTGTGTTCAATGCCAGCCCGACGGCTGCACCAAGGAGGTTCAAATGAGGTGCATGATGTCATCTGTGGTGCTATAGGAGACATGCGCACAGGATGAGATGGGCACCAGTCTGACTATGAAACATGGCGGTGTTATGCCCGAGGAGCTGGACAACTTCTCTAGTCACATCCTCGTGGGTCCTCCTCGTCCCTGGACATTGCTTCGAAAAGTTGCACTTGCCTTTTGCTGGTGTCCAGGCCCCGTGACCATGCCCATGCTTGCCTTTGCCCTTTGGGTTCTTCTACCCGTCCTACAAGCCTGTGCGCACTGCATCCAGTCACTCTTTCCGCTTCCGTGAGATGGGACAAGCATTACAGGTTGCATAGCGGAACCAGACCGAACTGGTGGAAACAACGAAAGCTCATCGAGCGACAAGGGAAAGCTGGTGCTAGTATACACGGGAAGCCCACATTCATGAAAGATGTTGAACGGTACGTACCTCCCTTGGAAACACCGGGTGTCGGCCGAAGTGTATTCTATCTGAAAAGTTTTGGAATGAGAACATTAGTATCAGCTCGGATGAACTTAGCACAGCGTTCGGAGAGAAAGCCGCGAGCTGTCATGAGCTCTCGTCCGCACTACAGATGATCACAGCGGTGATCATCAGTGGACAGAATGGCTTGCAAGCATGGCCGCGATTGGCTCCAAGATACGATCCGGCAACTGCTCGAGGGAGCCATGCTGAAGTCGGCCATCAGCTCTCGGACATGCGGCATCGTGCGCAATGATGGCTGCTTGCGCAGCTACGTGTACTTTCCTTTTTTCTGCTCTCACTTGCTCCAAATACTGTGCTGTGCCTCCTGGCGTCGGCTTCTTTGCCCTGTTCGAGCCCATTTTTGCCCGGGTGGTGAATCAGTGAAATCCTTTCGAGGATGCGTTCCCGACAACAACCTCAAGGTCTGTGTCAAGCCGTCAGATGAAGCATGTGGTTCATTGGCTTATGAAAGTCTCACTTCGAATCAAGGGTGCAGTTGAGAAAAATAAACTTCATGTTTGTGTTGAGAAAGGGTGGCAAAGAGAACAAGGGGGGACCTGTGCTGCAGCGCGCGCTCCGCGGCGGCTTGGGCCAGGGACAACAAGTCCTCTTCAGATTCGCCATGCGAGAAGCGGCCCGCATTGGCTCACATACACTGCTTTCTTGCCGGTGAATAGCTGGTTCTCTCCTTTAAGGCCGGAGGCTCGGGCACCGGTTCACCACAACGCAGTGCGCCCGAGAACCTGGACTGAGGAAGAAACTCTCACATGCTGTTTGCTGATGGCCGCTTGTGGCTCGGACTCTCCACCGCTGGTATTCACCTGAAAAGGTGCGAGCAACCAGCAGTGTCTCAGCAGTGTCTCAGATGTCCACATGGTATTTGCCTTGGCGTGGTAGCTGTGCGCACCTGACACTTGGGCTCCACTCGGACCGAAGAAAAAACCGCCGACGCTCAGCTCTGGGGCGAGAGCACACCGCTTCTCGGCCAGGAGGCAAAGGGACCGGCACGACCGGAACCTGCTCAATATCAAAACAATATAATACTTTAAAACAAGAGCGGTTGGAAGAGCCTTCTCTTCTTAACTTCACTTTTTGGGACACAAGTGGACAAAACTCACGGCCTTCAAACGCCGCAGGTCCTCGTAGAAGCTGATGTCCTGCGTGTGCTGCTCAGGAAGAGATGCCATGCTTCGTGTCTGCAAGACTACAGACTTCCTCGGACCACTCCACATCAGGCACTGGAACAAGCTCCCAACAGGCTCGAGTGAACATGTACGAAAAACCTCGGATGGTGTAGGGGGCGGGGGGGGGCTCTCAGAGAGGGTGAAGATGGTGATATGCACTAATAGCTACGGATGTCAATTTACGCGACGTGCATCTTGGGTGTGAAAAGGGAATGTAAAATCTTTAAACTAATTAACTGTATATGGAACCGGTAACAGTATAGATCAGTGCCCAAAAGCGACGCTTGCACCCCTTCCTTGAGTAGGTTCGCTCCTCCTCCTAATTCTTTCTTATGAAGAGCTTCCTCTCCCTTCTCACTTGGATGGTGCCGGAAGGGTGGCAGCGCTTAGCAGCGTCTGTCTCTGATGAATGGAGTGAGCCGCTCTAACTGCTGGCCGCTGCCTAGCCTCCGCTAGCCGTGCTAGCCCGTGCTGGCACGGCAGCACGTCTCCAAGTGCGCCAATTGACAAGGGTGAGAACAAAGGTGCAACAATCTTTCTGTTTCTGCAACAATCTTCAGAGGTCTCGGCGAAAAATCAAGTGGAGGCCATGCCCTACAGATGCCCCCCCCCGATTGGGGGAAGCCTTAATAAGGCCTCTAAGACCCGAGCCCCAGCCGTAGAGCCAGCCATGTCGCTGGTCTCGAGGGATCTTGGAGCGACAGCTGCGCACATGGAAAGCGTGGCAAATTGCATGTCTGCAGTCTGCACTGCACTGCACTTCACTGTGGCTTCTGGCAAGTGGATCTCGCTCCACGTCCATGAAGCCAAAGGTCATGTCCTCAAGCTCCCGCATCTAGTATACTCGCAGTGCTTTCGTACACGATGTCCGCTGAGCTGCAAGCCGACAGATCTAGAAGATGCCTTGAAAGCTTCAGCATGTCTCTGGGGGTCTGGGGGCCTCTGTGGAAAGGCTCTAGCCACTCTCGGAGGGTAATGGCCACTGGAGGCCTACCATAGGCCGTTTGCGGCCTGCCATGTGAAGCCCTCTGCAGTTTGATACATGGAGTCAACATCGACGAGCCTGAACTCCTTGACAGGGAGCTTGCCCTGCTTCTCTGCTTTCTCTGCTTTCTCTTTCTCCACCTTCAACATGTATCTTGCTTCTTGTGTGCTTCCATGCTCTATCGGGCTGGGTAAAGACACATGTACAGTCGCACTGCCTTCTCCAAGGCCTTCTCTAACCGGTGCTTCATCCATGTGAGGTAGGTGCTAGCATAGAGGTCGTCATCATCGAAATGGGCCAAGATCTCGCCTGTGACAAGTGACCGGCAAGATGTGGCAAAAAGCTTCTGCCCATGCACCACAGCCGATCCTTGAGCGAGCTGGATGGCGACATTGCGTTTGAGGCCTAAAGACCACGATGTAGATGCCTCGTTTCGCAGGAGGCCCCCTTCGTGGACCTGCACCTCTTTTTATAAACATCCCTTTGCGCGCCACTTGATAATGCGCTCAGATTGCAGGGGCACAATTGCAGGGCAATTTTGGCACCTGCAAGCCGGACTCTTCCCAAATCTGTTGGTCGCCGATGCTGAAGGTCACGGGCGAACCTGGGCTCCACAAGCGATCTCTCCGAATCTCTCCTTGTTAAACTGCTAGAGCTCTGGTGTTCGCTAGCCCTCCCCCTTTGACATCTACTGTCCTGGAGTCCAGTGCTGGAATCAGAGTCCTGTGCCTTCTTTCCAGCCATCTGGCAGGTCCTGGCCGAACACATCCGGTGGCTCCTCCTTCTTTTGCTCACAATTAGAGCCGGGCCATGCGAGAATCTGCGACTTGGTAGTGCCGGTAGATGACACGCGAATCCTTGCCTGGATCAGCGTGTGTCTTGCGTTTGGCCCGCATGCCAGAATCATGGGGAACTTGCGCCCACAGCGTTGCGCGTCACGGGCAGAACGCTTGAAAAATCTTCCCAGCACTGATGCCTACATCGAAATGATTGGAAGTGATGCGCAGAGGCCCCAAAGCCATCGGAAGAAAACAAAGCGCACAGGCCGAACAGTTTGAACCAGCCAACTGAGGACTGAGGAGCTCGCTGGCCATGGCCTGCGCTTTGTCAAGCTTTTTCAACACTCTCTCCAACAACGCTGTGATGTCTGCGATGTCTTCAGGCCTGCATGAACTCGGAAGCATGTGGCCCAGTATCCACCACCACCTTTGCATGAAGTTGCAGCACGCTTGGATTACTTTCCAGGCTAGGCTGGGAGTTCTTGAAGAGTCACTACCTGCAGCTTTTGTTTTGAATTGTTGGCATCTTCTTTATCCGCAGCACAACACATGTTCCCGGCCAGCTGTTTTGGCTCGTAATCCTGGCGCCGGAAGCACCTTACAGACACTTCGGCATGGTTCGACTCATTGAAGCATCCAATCGTAGGCTCGCGGCTCGTAGAGGAGAGGATGGAAGCCATGGCGTGCAAAGCTGGTCGGGGCTATCACGGAGATCAACTCGCTCAAGTCCGAAGCCTCACCCAGGACTCTCACCGGGACTCTCACCCTGATTACCGGATCCTCACAGGCCAAGAGCCCTGCTGGCTGGCGTGGCCGATCCTTGCAGCGTAATGGTCTGGGCCACATGTTTCTGGGGGGGCATTCTGTCAGTGTGGCTTGGTTTGGCTTGAGGGCACTGCCCGCGGAGGGTCGAAGACGCCATCCGTCAGCCTTACGAATGAGAGCAGGGACAGTGCCAATTCGAACCTATGACCTATGGCACCGCTCACATGCTCTCAGGGTACCGCTCTGCGACTTAAGGACATAGCACAAACAAAGCAGCTTCGCTTGCGGTCCAGCTTGGGGCTGCCTCGGGACGCACAAGCAACCTGAGGCAACTCTAAGCGATGCCTCTTTGAACCATTGATCCTTTCGTCCGGACCATCGGAGTAATCATGGCTGATGAAGGCAGAAATCGCGCAAAAGTAGAGCCAATAAGTTTCAAACCAATCTAGCCGCAACTGAAGGACTTTCAGGGTCTTTAAATTCCTAAAGCTCAAATTCCCCAACCACACCCCCCTGAAGTAGTGCTCATAAACTGCTAAGTCAGAATGCTCCCCGGGAAAGGGGTAGATGTGTTGTAGGGTTGCTCGGGACTTTCCGGCACCATCGGTCAATGATGTGGCGCCTGCAGAGCTCGCGGAGCTGATGCTTTTGAGTTGACCGTATCATGGAGTAAGTCCAGCGTTTTCCGACACTGCCGGGCATGATGAGAGCAGTGGGTGTTGGCCACTTCCCACCGATTTCAACTGGGAAAGGGGGGGATCTCTCAGAACCTGCATCGGGGGCTTCAAGCTGTGGCAGCTGTGGGACCTTTGTGAAAGCCAACGCTTCCCAGCAAATTGACGTATTCGGGCTAGAAATCGTGACATTTGTAGACTACAGTCCAGTCCAGAAGACAGCACGGTTCCACGTCTGGCGAGGTCAGCTATGGAGACATGGGCTTGCGCCAGATTTTGGGCGATGTCTGAAGGCACCGACAGGGAGGCAGCACGGCGAGCAGATAGCTCGGTCATATCTTCCAAGAAAAGCTAGCACGGCTGCGTAAATCTGGAACTTCTTGCTGTTCAGCGAGCTATGGCAAGCTATTCATACACCGGAAAAATCTGTGCCCCGCGCGAGAATTGAGGTGAGGGTGTGTGGGGTGGTCCATACATATAGTAAACAAGCTCAGCAGCTCAGCAACATTGGCAACCCTTTCCCATTTAATGACATTCTATCCGGTTTAGGTCCGGCCTTAACTTCAATGGGATAGTGTTAGAGCCTTGTTTTGTTCCCCGCCCTCGGTGTGGGGTTGTTAGATTTTAAACTGAGTCTTCTCCTCGTCTGGAACTCTTCTCCTCGCCCGGTCTACTCCTCGCTCATCCCTGGAGTGCCCAACCCCAAAGTGTACCTGCCCAACTTGGCCTGGAGTGCCCAACCCCGAGTCTCCCTGAAGTGCCCAACCCCAGAATCTAAAGTGTTACCAGAGTCTCCCTGGAGTGCCCAACCCAGAGTGTCCCCGGAGCGCCCAGCCCCAAATTCTCCCTGGAATGCCCAACCCCCAGAGTGTCCGGAGTCGGTCTCCCAGCAATCTCAGAGTCTCCCTGAAGTGCCCACCCCCAGAAGGGTCCCGAGTTGCCTCCGGCGTCTCCCTGAACCCAGAGTATCTCTACCAAGAGAGGGTGGGGATGTTCGAAGTAAAATTATGTTTTCATTTCTTTTTTGAGGGGGGGGGGGGGGGGCTGAGAGTTTCATAACGGCCGCATGCTAGTAGCTGTGGCCATGTTATAGCCCTTGTCAAGAAAGGCCCCGGCGACAGGCAGTCGGGGATGCAGCCTCGTGTGTATACAGCTTGAAAGCAGTGTCGCAGTCCACAGGTCCTCTTGGGAAAGCGCGGACATGGCCGCCAACTCATCACCTGTTACACTGTTGCTGTTATGTTTTTTTTTGGTTTTTTGTGCTCAGATGCAAAGTGGCTGCAGCTGTCAGTACTTCTCAGGCCGCCGCCAGTGCTCGGACTCGTGCTACTCGCTGCTGCACCTCACGCAGCCTCGAGGGCGAGAGCGGGGCCGCGGCCATATCGATGGATGCTGGGCTCGGGCACGGGCCAGGTCTCCAGACTTTGATGCTGATGACTGGGGCCTGCGGGGCACAACAGCATGTCTATTCTTAGGGGCAACGTTAAGGCATCCAACTGCTGGGACACAGGCAGTTGCAACGCAGGCATCGGGTCGGAGCCCTTGCCAATGCAGGACTTAAGCCCACTTGTTCAGAAGTCTTTCACGGCGCTTTGCCTGCTCCAGCTGGCTGGCACCAGTGCACCACCCGTTTCATCTTCTCGTGGCCTCAGGAACTCACGGAAGCTCTATACGGTCTATACGCGCATGGACCCAACGCGAGACCTTGGACTCCAGCCAAAAAAGTAGTCCCAAACCCTGGAAGCCGGGACAAGCTCTGCACCTTGAGGGAGAATGTTGAATGATCTGCTTGCTGCAAACTTGTGCCGCTACATTGCCCCGTCCGAGTGGCATGTTGCATGGTCCGCGCGGTACCTGAAAACGCTTTTGTTGAGCAGCTTTCATCCGTTCAAACAGCTTTCAAATCGTTGACTTTGCCAGCGTGGATCGTGGGGTAAAGAAATAGAGAAGAGGGGTCGCCCCGAACGCATCGGCATGGAGCTCTCGGAACTCTGGGCCAGCCTGGTGGGCGAATGCGATATGAGCAGTACTTTCACCAAAAGAGTACTTAACCACACTCTTCCCGTCTCTAGCCTAGAAGTCGTTTAAAACGAAAATCCTAACTCATCTTCAGGAAGTCTTCTAGGGGGCATTGAGCTGTGATCTGAACATTTGCGCCCGCGCCTTCGCTTCCTCGGAGCCTTCGGAGCCTTCGGGGAGCGGTCTTCCATAGCTCTGCTAACAAACAGTGTTTTAAAAGTGAGTTCACAGCATTAAATTTCTGCATATGGAATGGAAATACGGTTATCTCTCACAACTCTGTCATTCTCTCGGCGCCTCTTTCGGATTTGCCAAGCACCGCGATCAGCTTGCCGAGGCCGGGCGGTGGCATCTCGCAGCAGGTCTCGAAGCCATGGACAAGCCATGCGCCGAAAAGAGCGCAAAGAAGGCGTTGAAATACAACTCCCTGACCCATCTCCACCCTTTATGGCTCATGTTGTCGATGTGGTGAAGCTGCTGGGCTACAATCTGCGATTAAACGCCAGTGCGTGCCATGAACTGTGCACGAATTTTGCATTCTTTAAGCTCGTGATGCAGATGGTTGTCGCAGCATGTAGGTCGGGGGACAAGTTGCGTTCCCCATCCACCTGCAAATCATTGTCTTTCAGGTCGCTTGGGACGTCCAGCAGCCAGGAGCAAAGATGCCAACGGAGTATTGAGAGGCACGATCCGGAGCAGGTCTTCAACACCACCAAAGAGATATGCAAACTTATTTGCGCGTTGCCTCAAAGGATGAACCAGAACGCAACTCATAAGACATAAGAGGTTGAATGCTACATCTGAAGAAGAAGAAGGATATTTTCAAGATACGTGCAAGAAGAAAGATAGTTGCTTTCAATGTGAAAGGTGAGAAGCAGCAACAAGAAGGACGAGAACACGGCGAGATGTCCGGAAACATATCCAGAGAACAAACATACAAGCTAAGCTTGATAGAAAGCTGCTTTTATGGACATTATCTACAAATGCACCTGAACTTTTGCGAGCACATCAACAAATGGCAACCTTGCCTAACTATTTAACACTACCAATGCGCAGAGCAATGCTTCCCTTTCTTTCGGTAGCGGTGAGGACGCGGGCCAACTGCCCACTTGATCTGCGAGAGAGCAAGAGCTGAGGGCAAGACTTAAGAATGCCCCCCAGCACTTGATCTTAACACACTAACACATTTACCCCCTTCGACAATCAGGCAGTCAGGGGGCAAAATCATGGCATGCCCTTCCGGCCGCCCCTCAGCGCGCCAGGGGGAGTGAAACACTTCAAGTGCAACACGAGTGCTCAGAGCTCAGCTCTGCGACAGGTGCAAGAGCCGAGCGTCAGACATCTGAAGCAAAGGCAAGACAAAAAGAGGAGATAAGAGCACTTCGACTGTGTAGACCCACGCTCGGCTTCGGATCTGCAGCTTGGACTCCAGCTGGAGCGGAATGATTTGTGTAATGAAGAAAAGGAGCATCATCGTAATCTGCGAAGTCTGGGCTCCGACGCACAGCAAAGGCCAAGCGTGTCCGAGGCCGGAGGCGAGGAAGACGAAGAATCCGCAGCAGCTGGGTGAGCAGCCGGTTTTCCGCAAGGGCACGAAGATGCCCTCCGAGAGCATCCGCTGCACGGGCAAATTCCACTGCCTCCAGAAATCTTTGATGGTCTTCGCTTGCCACAACTGAGGGCCAAAGATGGAGTGAACACAAAGCCGGTTGAAATACGACAATAAGAACAAATATGCACGGTCGAAGGTGTAAAATCCAAAGACCACGCTTCCTGCGCCGAAACAACAAATGAGCACCCTCACTATGCTCAAGCCGACATAGCCACTTTGGCCCCTGGCCAAAGCAAAGCTGCTTGGTAGGATGTGCAGGGCCAGGGCGCAGGCCTTAGCATAGCAGGTGCACTCAGTATCTCCACTTGTGTCCCAGTCTATGTATTCTTGCCCGGACCACCTGGCTCCAGTCCCTTACTCCCACATCCTAAAAGAACGCCACATCTGACCCACTCCAGATCATTCGGGAACCCACAGCGTATCCCTGGAGTGCCAGTGCACACCCCCAGGTCCCGATCCGCAGAGAACCTCAAGAGCCAGCTTCCCTGGAGCGCTAAGGCGAAGCATAGATGCAATCTGGGAACGGCAAGGCCCAAGGCTGCAAGGAGGAACTCCTGAAATGTTTTCTGGTAGTGGTTCCGGTGCTCGCGCGGGGTCTGCAGTGCCTTCACGCGGTCGACATCATGCCAGCTGAGGCAGGCCATGTGGTAGAAGCGCCTCCAGCGTCCCCAGGCAGGTGTCCGTGGACTTTGCGGTGATGGCGGGGAAGGAGAGCTCGACTTCTTCTCCGCTTTCTCCTCTGCCTTCTCCGGTCTCTTCTCTTCCTTCTCGCTCTCCGTTCTCTCCGTTCTCTTCTCTTTCTCGTCCTTCTCCTCGTCCTCGATGGCTTCGAGGCGCAGGAGGAGCTGAAGGGCGCGTGCTGTGCAGAGGATCGCGGCCGCGGATTCCGAGGCCCCGATGATCCGACCTGGCCCTCGGCGTGTGGCCTCTGTACAGACGGGCGCCAGGAAGAGGCCCAGGCAGCCCAAGGCCGTCTTCACTCTTCGAAGAAGCCGTCCACGTCGCACCACAGGCACCAGGACGCACCAGTTCAACCAAAGAAGGCATGCCGGCCAAAGCAGCGATGCGGCCAAGAACTCGAGCATGGAATGTGATGCCAGAGCTGCAGCGACAAAGAGCCCTAGGAAGCTGGAAGAAAACACGGTCAAACCAAGAGTCATAGCTGTCGGCGACTCATATCGCTCTGCTACGGGATCTTCTCCTCCCATGGCAGCCATGGCATCCATCTTCTTCTGCATTTTGGTTTTTTGTTCTCACGCCTAGCTCTCAATCCCGAGCCCCAAGCTGACACGCAGTTGCATGAGTTGCATGCATGGTGTCATGAAGCTATGCCCACCTATGCCCACCTATGCCTTCAGCGATCACATGTCACTGCAATGTGCTCGGAGCAGAGAGTGGGGCATTCTTATAACTTTGTTGCAACTCTGAGGGCAAAGGTTTGGTCTGGCCGGTCTTGCAAGACTTCATCTTGCCAGACACGGGAAAAACTCGCGAAATCTGTACGAATCCTAACCTGCGCATGACTGGTGCTCTCGGCATCCTCAGTGGCAGCACTGACCATCCTCTCTCAGATTGCTTAGCCATAACGTCGCGGCCTCAATTCATGGAGCTTGGATGAATGAGACCAGGGCAGCGGTGCGAAATGCAGCACAACTACAATGCAACTACAACCTGGGGCAAGGGCGACATAAGAATTTCGGGTCCCAAGATTGCCACTGCCAGTGCCAGAAAGAACCTTCAGATGAGCAGCTAATTAGCCAATGAGGGTTGTCGCCACCATTTGTTCAAGCCGCCCGGTGAGAACGATGGTTTGTGACAGGCAAAAGCAGTAGCGGAAGGTACCAACCTGGCATCCAGCCACACAAATGCACACATCTCACAAAGCCTGATGCGTTCACCGGTCCATGCCTGGAAGCAAGGTAGTGGCCCGAACCACAATGCGAAGTCAACTCGCTCGCTGGGCTCGGGGGCCCACAGCAGCCGGATCTGAAATTCATGTGCGACGACAGGATTTCGACAGAGGGTGACATAATGCGACAGGACCGGTTTGAGGTCAAAAAAGCCGTCCAAAAACAATCATGGTCCACGACAGGAATCTGTGGCCCGAGCTCCGCCACCACCTCAGCTTGCAGCGCGCGGGTCAAGGAAGCAAACGCCCACAAACACCCCATGAACTGGGCCGAACTCTGCCGAAACACTGCCGTTGCGCTGTCACACATGCCCCGTTCACATGAGTACATCTGTACACATCTCTACACTGCCAGCCTTCGCCTTGTGGCTTGCTGGATCGGGCCTCGCTCGAGACTTTCAAGGCGGGCAGGCGTTATTAAAGTGCTTCCTGATATAGCTTTATAGTGTATGCAGAGAATGCTGTCATTGTATCTGCGTCTGCCCTGGCGATCTCTAAGGCTCTAAGGCCTGAGAAGATATTGGTAGATGCGAACGGCGAGCGAAGGCACCAAGTTACCCCGCGCTGCCCATAGTGTATCATAGCTGCCCTGCATCAGTACATTGCTGACATTTGCTGGATAGGTACGTGTCACTTGGCTTTAATAATCACCCCCGCATTTAACAAGCCAAGTCACAGAACTCAAACCCCCCCGCCCGCCGCAATAGCAAGACCCAAAATTCACAGAAAAACATTGTGGCCCAACCGCCCGGAAGGGGCCCAGTAGAATCCCAGAAGAGGCCAGGCCCCTTGAAAACAGGCCCTCTCAAACAAGACTACAGCTCCTTTAAAACCGAAACCCTCTTGGTTCTCTGCTGGAGAGATTGAATCAATCAAGCGGGGATTTTTGAGCGAAGTGACCAATCTAGTGCACACTTGTACAGCTGGCACATTAATGTCAATGTGCTCTCGATTTGCAGAGAGGCAGTGACACTGTGGGTTAGGAGGCGATTGCAGGCGTTTTAATTCTCATGAATTCAAGCAGTTGTCGTTTAGGATGCGTGTTCCCCTGCGTCGTAGAGTCGGCAATCGTTGGCAAGCTGCTCAAAGTGCTCGTTGCATGATGGCTTCAGGGTATTTCATGGTGCGCGCGCAAGGACCTTCGCACGGCTACGAGCTGCGCTCCATTCCACTCATAAACCCTGTTATGTGATCTCAATACTTTTCTCTACGAATGTGGCTTGGCGGTGTTGTTGCTCGACCTCGAGTTCGCGTGTCAGACTGCCAAAAGGCAACGTGACATGAAGTAGGGTTGATGTTTCTTGTATCCCCAAAAGGACATCCAATATATACACTCACCAATATTAAAAAGGAACACCAACAACAGCAAATAGTATAACTCCTCTTTCACATGACTTTGAAGTTTGAAGAACACTGGGCAACTGTTCTTTCGACCATGCTATGTCAATTTATTTTGTAGTGCGTTATGGCACTTTGCTCTCTCTAAACAGAGGCAAGAAGGGCACAAATAGTGTTCGAAGTGATCCGGACAAAGCCCGCTCCGAGGGCGGAGCAAATCATAATTTGATGCCATAGTTTTGTGGGGGCCGAGGGATGCTCTGCACGGCAACATTCGGTGACACTCGACTGGTGATGGTATTTTGGTATTGTCGCAGTTTGGACGTGTGCCCTATTTGGTGCAGGAAAAAGATAAGCTGAACACTAGAACACTAGCAGTCACAAAAGCACCACACAACACAAGCTGCGCCCCGGGGGCTCAGCAAGGCCAGGCGTGTTGTTGGTGATCTCCTTGAGGAGCTTCTGATTTCCTCAACAGGAGAAAAAAGGCGAGGGGGGATACAAAAAGTCAATTTAACGTGAGGGGGCATGTTGCTTCGACTTAAGATGCGAGATAAGGTCTGCGCCTTTTTGAATCTGTGACCCGATGGGCCGTTGACTGCCTCCCCTGCGGAATGCAATGTTTGCAGACGCAGGTCAATGCCGTCAATGCAGTCAATGCCGTCTGCCAGAGCGCCCTCTCCCTCCCATGCTTCTTCTCGGCGCGATCTTCTTCCTCTGCGAGAATTTTAAGTGACTTTAGGAGTTAACCGTTCGGTACCATTCCCGGATTCCAGGTTGACAGTGGCTAAATGGCAGCAACCAGGACGGGCTATTAGGCCCTATAACCCCTTAAAGAGGCCCTTTATCGGGTTGATTATGGGGATTATAGGGCCTAATAGCCCATCCTGGAATGCACTGTCAGGCATACGCGCAGGGCACTCCTAGAAACGCGCGCCGTTTCTCTGATTTCGTGGCTGCCCACAATGTGCTCGCATGCTCTCGCATGTAACAGCCGTTGTGGGATGTTGTGGGCAGCTTTGCGGCAGCTTAAGAACAGCCTCTGTGAGTCAGGGTCGTGCTTCAGGGAACAAGATGGCCCGTTGCGGTGCTCTTTCCACCGGGCCTGTTGTGTGCGGGTTAAGGGACACAGTTTCCACCCAGGCTACATAGCGATCCCGCCGCGGCAGCCAACTGCTTTCTCTCTCTCTCTCTCTAGCGCTCTCTCTCTCTCTCTCTCTGGAATCTCGAGGCTCCCACGCACGGGCCTTGCCTTGTGCCTCAACAGCCTCAGGCACTCAGGTGCTTCGGGATGCTCTTGCCTTAACACAAGCCAAAGAAGTAAAGGAAGCGAAGCCCGCCAGATGGGGTGGGTCTTGTTTTGGATGGCTGTGGTGCAGTTGTAGCGGCCCAGCGCCTGCCGAGACCCTAACAGGACTGAATCTGCCAATCGCAGAGTGGGCTGGTAAGACCCATTCGGGAAACGTGGGCCAACAATTCGGATGCCAAGATTCGGAGAACGCAAAAATACTGAAAGCAAGTTCAGGAAATGGAGGGTGACATTCGGACAACGAGAGAAGTACCAACTGTTGAAGTTGCCTAAGCCCTGAGACCTTGTTGCATCCGGGCTCTACGCGATATCTGCCGGAACCAAAGACTCAACCCACTTCGCCCTGAACCCAAAACCCTCCCGTTGAGAAACCCGAGTTCCTGACCGGTCCACATCTGCTTCCGGAATCATACGTGCCAGCCGCCTAAAGTTGCGACCTGTTTCCTGAACTCGGCTATCTGAATTTCTAGCTAGGTTTCCTGAATTTGCGGCCCTGCTTCCTGAGAATTCTATGTTGGAGTTACGGCTCCCATGTCTAAGAACGCGCCTACGTTCTCCAGAAGCGACTTGCTTTCGGACTTGTTGTGGACTTCCTTTCCCTAGGGCATGTCATACCCTTTGGCCTTTGCCATGCCTGGGGGTCCGCGCTGTAGAAGCCAAACCACAGCTGTTTGGTCTGCTCGTGGGCCCAATGTGCCCAACAAATCCTCTCGCAAAGGATGGCTTCGAAAGAGGCTTCAGCTCTCCAGAGAATGAGTAAAGTGCAGCAAGTTTCACCGAATCCCCAACAAGGCTCAACAAGGTCATGCCAGGGTCCTTGTCCACGAGGCATGCACGACAGGCACAAGGCCAGCACGCATGCTAAGAAAAGGAGGCCTAAGTTGGCGCCATGGCGCATCTGAAGACACATGCGTTCCTTTCCTGTGGCAACACTCGCGTCTTGTTCCGAGCTGCACGGACGAGCCCGATGTCCTGCAATGCAAGAGGTGCGCCTGTCAATCTTTGCATCTTCGCATGCTGTCAGCAATGTCAGACAACACAGCCTGGCACTGGTCCTGCCATGGCACAGAAAACAGAAAATCTGCTGGAGAGCAGGCCACACTTAAACACAGCTTGGTTGGCATGGTGCAACAAGCTTTGAATCCGACTTTGGCAAGTACTGGGCACGTTTGATTTGGCAACACCCTTGGCCTCTCCTACGCTTGAGTTCCCGAATCTTGCTTAAGTCTAAGAGTCAATGTTGCCCTGCCACTGCAGCCAAATACACGCCAAAGCACACATAGGCTGACGTGAATGCATGACGCATGTTGCCTGGCATGGGCATGTTCTAGCACCGTGTTTGCAGGAAGCGAGCAGTTTGGCAGCATGCATATATGCGGTACGCTACCTTCTTCAATCTGTCCTCAGCAAGATGAGCGACAGAGTCGCATGAGCGCACGCACGCACGCACACGCGCACACACGCGCGCACACACACACACACACACAAACGCGCACACACGCACACACGCACACACGCGCGCACGCACGCGCGGGCGCGGCGCGCGCGCGCGCGCGGCGTCCGCGCAGGCGCACGCGCAGGCGCACGCGCGCACGCGCAGGCGCAGGCGACGCGCAGGCGCACGTGCAGGCGCACGCGCAGGCGCACGCACAGGCGCAGGCGCACGCTTAGGCGCAGGCGCAGGCGCAGGTGCACGCGCAGGCGCACGCGCAACGCGCACACGGGGAGGCACACACACACACACACACACACACACCACCCAACCCACCCACCCCCACCCCCCCCACCCACCCACCCACCACGCACGCACGCACGCACGCACGCACACACGCACGCACGCACATACGGCCTACAGTCTGTGCCATGCTTCGCAACAACTTTCAACTCTTCATTGCTAGGACCAAATGATATGTTGCCATTTTGCTTTCTAAGTACTGCTGAGGTGGAATCTGCGAGTGCAAAGGGGAGTAAGGGTGGCTCGAGGAGCAGCACGCAAAGCAAACAGCTCCCTTTAAACCAGCGTCAACGCCAGATAGGGCAGATACCTACTCTCCCACTCAGATTACCAAAGGACCTTCAGCAGTTGCTACAAAGCGAAGGGTATCAACGATATCAACTTGCTTCACAACTTGTCGGTGCGAGAACTTCAGAGTCACGGGACCGGGGCCCCATTTCCTTCGCAACGAACAGAAAGTCATCTGCAAGGGGGGGGGGGGGGGTGGTTTGAACACACATCAGGCCGAGACAATACACACCACCCCAATGTGGACGCTCACGCAAAGAATTACCCATCACTCGAGAGAATACACATCACAAGACACGAAACCCCAATGTGGACGCTATTTTCGGCAGTCAACCACGGAGATCTCAAAATCCACCAACCCTCGCGGACGTTTATGTGTTGGGCCATTTTGACATCAATCTGGCATATATTTTGGCAGCAAATCCCGAAGGAGACGCTTGATTTTTATCATCGTATACGCAACGTTGGTACTTACTCATACGGAACGTTGATCTTCGAAACCGTTACTGGTCTTAGACACCTGCGACCCGCAGCTGCTCGAGTGCACACGGCCTGCATGCCTGCTGAACGTGTCTGACGCACCAAACCCTGCGACGGAGACCGGTCTTGGCACAGCAAAAGTGTATTGGACCAGCTAGCACGGAAAAGTCCTGCCAACTGCCTTACCGAACTTGAAGCCGTGGTGGCACCTTGGATCAGTGCCAGGTCTTGTTCCAAAATGCAAAACCCCAATGTGGATCGTTGAGGCACGCGCTTCATCCGACCATGGGTATGGGGCGGTTTGCATGCCAGACCCCATTGTGCACGCTGCATTGGCTGAAAATTCTGGACAGCTAGGATCAGTGCCGGGTCCTGTGCGGAATTCAAGACCCCAGTGTGGACGCCGATCGATACGTATTTACACCGCGCGATGTGAGTTCAACCCCCCCCCCCCCCGGGTATGTATTTCGCGTCTGCATAAGAGCTTGCAAATCAAGTTTCGATGTCGCGCACGACGATGCTTAGCCAGACTTATCGGATCACAAGCCTCTTTTACCAGCGCAGGCTGCCTTCGTTAGGGGTCACATATCCGCACTGGTGGTCTTGTGTCACGCCAGGACGAAAGAGGCCAACGGCCGGAGGCATCCAGGTCTCCACAGTGAGGCAGCGATGCAGCATTGTGTTGCTTCACGGCTGCTTTGTCATTCAAAAGACGGTCGGCAACGGCCGGACCGATGGGGTGCTTCAGGATTCCTGAACAGCCCAGTGCTTCAGCGACGCACGGGCACCCGACGAGTGTGAGAGGCACAGTCGCCTGCCTTGCTTTGGGCAGGAGACAGCTGAACTCGCAAAGTTTTTTGCGAGGCTTCCTCACCAGGCACCCAAGAACCAAGCAAGTCATCTCAGCATATATTCGGTGACCCCCTTGAAAACAAAAAGTAATCAACCATAATTAAGCCATGTAGACCTTGCATAGCCGTATAGCCTAAGCCAAACGCCTCGTTCTTGAAAGGTGGCCGGGAGGCAGCGGTGAGCCCTAAACGCCCTCAACCTAGCTTACAATGTAGCTGCCCACCTGCACCAAGTGCACGTAGTTCCTTTTGAAAGGATCCGGGAAGGCCAGCGTTTAGGACTCAGGGCCTAGAGCCAAAACACTAAATTAAACACCATTAAGTTACCAACCCAAACTTTACGACACTTTACGAAACTGTCTTTAAGCCTGGGCCTATTGCAGTCCAACAGGTACACATCGCCAAATCCACAACCCCAAGCCCTAAATCTTAACCCTTGTCCCTGGCTGGAGGGGAGGGGGGGGGGGGGGCAAGGTTGGTCAGACATCGTCCCTATCGAAGGGGTCTGTGTAAACTGTAAACAAGAGATTCCAGGTACCCATAAGGGGGCCCTCGTCTCGAACAGCCCACCATAGGCTCAGGTTTAGGGCACCAAGTTCATGCGCGGAAATGTGCCTTTCTCCGCACAAACGCGGGCGCACTTGGCAGCCATTGAAATGTGTGTTGCAGAGGCCGCGGTAGTTGCTCGACGCTTTGGCTTGCGGAGCTTCTCATTTTGGACCCTCCCCTACCATTTTAGTTTCCTGGGGTTTTCAGGGAGCCGAACCTCTAAACGACCCTAAACCCTCCTAATGGCTGGGCATTCAACAAGACAACAAGAGGGCAAGTTTGGGGTGTAGGGCTACGGGATGATCCACACGGTGCAATATAAACTCTCTTGCAGATACGCCCAGACCTTCATCCCAGATGTAACTACCACGGCCGAAGTGCGAGGTCTCACAAGCCAAGGTCCCATGGGCTTTCAGGGCCCTGCTGTAAACCTATAGGCCTATGTACGAAGGACCTTTATGTACTATTTGGCGTGTGGCTTGGCTTCTTCAGGCAGAACTTAGGAATTTAAGGAATTTAAAGAATTTAAGGAGGCCGGGCCTTAATTTAATATTTTTTTTAATCCTTAAATTCCTAAATTAGGGCTAATTTAGGAATTTAAGGAATTTAAAGAATTTAAAGAGGCCTAAATTCTTTAAATTCCTTAAATTCCTAAATTAGCCCTAATTTAGGAATTTAAGGAATTTAAAGAATTTAAAGAGGCCGAAATTCTTTAAATTCCTTAAATTCCTAAACTAAATTAAATTGGTTCTGGGCCGTAATTTAAAATTTTTTAAATTCCCTAAATTCCTTAAATTCTTAAATTCCTTAAATTCCTAAATTAGGGCTAATTTAAGAATTTAAGGAATTTAAAGAATTTAAAGAGGCCTAAATTCTTTAAATTCCTTAAATTCCTAAATTAGCCCTAATTTAGGAATTTAAGGAATTTAAGGAATTTAAGGAATTTAAAGAATTTAAAAAATTTTAAATTAGGGCCCAGAACCAATTTAATTTAATTTGGGAATTCAAGGAATTTAAGGAATTTAAAGAGGCCTAAATTCTTTAAATTCCTTAAATTCCTAAATTAGGGCTAATTTAGGAATTTAAGGAATTTAAAGAATTTAAAGAGGCCTAAATTCTTTAAATTCCTTAAATTCCTAAATTAGGGCTAATTTAGGAATTTAAGGAATTTTAAGAATTTAAAGAGGCCGAAATTCTGTAAATTCCTTAAATTCCTAAAGTAAATTAAATTGGTTCTGGGCCGTAATTTAAAATTTTTTAAATTCCTTAAATTCCTTAAATTCCTTAAATCCCTTAAATTCCTAAATTAGGGCTAATTTAGGAATTTAAGGAATTTAAAGAATTTAAAGAGGCCTAAATTCTGTAAATTCCTTAAATTCCTAAATTAGCCCTAATTTAGGAATTTAAGGAATTTAAGGAATTTAAGGAATTTAAAAAATTTTAAATTAGGGCCCAGAACCAATTTAATTTAATTTAGGAATTTAAGGAATTTAAAGAATTTAAAGAGGCCTAAATTCTTTAAATTCCTTAAATTCCTAAATTAGCCCTAATTTAGGAATTTAAGGAATTTAAAGAATTTAAAGAGGCCGAAAGTCTTTAAATTCCTTAAATTCCTAAATTAAATTAAATTGGTTCTGGGCCGTAATTTAAAATTTTATAAATTCCTTAAATTCCTTAAATTCCTTAAATTCCTAAATTAGGGCTAATTTAGGAATTTAAGGAATTTAAAGAATTTAAAGAGGCCTAAATTCTTTAAATTCCTAAAATTCCTAAATTAGCCCTAATTTAGGAATTTAAGGAATTTAAAGAATTTAAAGAGGCCGAAATTCCGTAAATTCCTTAAATTCCTAAATTAAATTAAATTGGTTCTGGGCCGTAATTTAAAATTGTATAAATTCCTTAAATTCCTTAAATTCCTTAAATTCCTTAAATTCCGTAAATTCCTTAAATTCCTTAAATTCCTAAATTAGGGCTAATTTAGGAATTTAAGGAATTTAAAGAATTTAAAGAGGCCTAAATTCTTTAAATTCCTTAAATTCCTAAATTAGCCCTAATTTAGGAATTTAAGGAATTTAAAAAATTTAAATTAGGGCCCAGAACCAATTTAATTTAATTTAGGAATTTAAGGAATTTAAAGAATTTAAAGAGGCCTAAATTCT